TGTCCTCTTTAGTTTATCAACAAATGGATGGTGTCCACCCACATTAGGAAGGACCATCTTCTTTACTACATCTACCAATTTAAATGCTTATCTCATCCAGAAGCATCTTCTCAGACAAGCCAAAAATAGTATTTAATCCAATATTAATCACCTTGTAGCTCAAATTGACTCATATAAATTTGCAGTTGTAGGGGGGTGTATCCTGACAATAACCAGTCATACCTGCCCAGAGACAATCAAAGTATGGGTGAAACAGTTCTCTCCTATCAAGGACAAAAACACGTCCTTAGGAGAGCCTTCCTGGTGAGCTATCTGCAACTGTTGAGGGAAAGAGCAAATGTTGGTCCTGAGTGGCAATATCTGGGTGATGCCATTACATCCACTATATGTTTCACTTGGGCTAAAATTTGTACTTCATCCACTTAATATTTTTTGTAAAAAAAATATTATCACAGATCAATAACTTCCAGATTTGCCAAAACTTCCTTATACCTTTATGGTAACTAATTATTATTTCACAACTTTACCTAGAAATATATGTGCTAAATGGATTTTAACATGCTAATTTTCAAATAGAGCCACCAGAAATAAGTGAATAGTTTTTCTATTTGGCAAATATATGGTTTCAGAATTCAGGAAAGAAAGTTTTAAATCTATCATATAGTATCTTCTCCCCTTACAACTTAATGCTAACACAAACATAGTCATTGTAAAATATCTTTACTTTGTTACACTGTTGGTTTAATATTTTCTGTCTTCATTTATCCAATAATGTCCCCTAGGATTATAGAATTCCACACAATACTGTTACCACTGATGTGCCTGTTTTGAAGGTAAATTTTATAAAGAAAAAATATTATGGGTAAATATAGCACCTCACTTATTTATCTCCCTATGATATTTTCATTATTTTCTCAAAAAGATCACATTTCTCAGACTTCTGTGAGTGCAGTATTGATTAGTCGGATGTTCAAGCCTCTTCGAGATCTATTCTCAATTTAATTTTATAACCTGATGTCCTAATTCATGCCTTCCCACCTACCTACCTCCAATTGAGTTAAGTGCAATGCGCTCTAGCACTGTAATATAATATTTCACAAGTGTAGTCTTGACCTAGTTTTGAAGTTATAGCTAGAAACTCTGAATTCCCCTTTGAGGATAGTTTGCTAAGCTACACATGTGCACGCGTGCACACACACACACACACACACACACACAGGAAATCACTTCCCTTAGGAGGCTCCCACTCTCTGGGGCCACGAAGCATATCCCAGTCGTCCCAATCATGGACTCTCACACTCCCAGACCAGGTGCTAAACAACTCTAGGTCTAGAGCTGTGTAACAATTCAAATTAGCCAGTTCCTAAGAGGTTCCCACACTGCTTGCCTCACACACAAGCTGCATTCTACAGCTATTGCATAATAGCTGTTACCTAATCCCATGTGTGGCAGCCTTCTCTAACTGGGAGCTGTAAGAAACTAAGAATGCTGCACTTTATCTCCAATGATCAATAGTGTGTCCTTTTTATTCAAAGATTAACCTGAAATTCTTTACCTCCAGGGACTTTTTTCCATAGCTGTACTCCTCATCCATGTTCCTGCCATTCTTCAGGTCACTGCATCCTCTGTGTATGTATGGTGCTTTGTGGTGGATCTGTTTCCTAACAAAAGGTAAGTCATTTGATCAGATCCTTGAAAACACAAATGTTTTCGTTTCTTTGAACTCCTCGAAGTCTCTGGCATGGGCTCTATTACAAGCCCCTTCACAGATGTTTCCTGAATTCAACTCACTGCAGCACTGCCATGCAACGTTGTCGTCAATCCTGCCTGACTGTGACAAGTCACATTCCTGCCATATTGAATGCTTCTTTTGTCTGCTTTTGTGCGCAGAACAGAAGGGTTGAAGAATGATGAGAGGGATGGTGCAAAAGTAAACACTGGAAACAGCCAACAGGAACACTAAATTTCCAAAATACGTGATGGGAATTTAGGGTAAGAACACACAGAAGATGATCAACAAACCTTTGTTAGATGCAACAAACAGATTTCACAATCTTAGACTGACTGTTCCAGGATTTTGCCATGTTCAACTTGAGTTTCAGGGATATGGAGGAACATACTGGACAAAGTTTTTTCATAGTGCCAGTTAATGTGCCTCTTTGAATAATTCCCATGGTAATTAAATTCTCTTGGTTCATAATTGCATAAGATACTGTTTTAAAGACAAAACCCTTTTTTCCTTGTTCATGTGATGTGGTAATTTTCCCCCCTCCAAGATTCTTTGAAGTCTTGTCCTAAAATATTCTCTTGGGTTTAAGGAAAAAAAAAAAAAGAAAGAAAACATTGAATAAAATTTTCTCTCTTGAACCACAATTAATTGAAGATACAGAATGTTCAACAGATATCTCTGAGGAAAAGATGGCTATATTTTGTTTTTAATGCAAAGTGCTGTTTGCACAGGCAAATTTGTGTGACTTAACTATGTTATGGTTAGCTAAATGAATTTAATGATAAAAAGTTTGTATACCCAAAAGAAATACATGGATCAGAACTGGAACTGGAATCAAAAGCTATAGTGAAAATGGGCAGCTCTCAGCCTGGCTGTCTTTTCTGTTCTTGTCCTTTATCAATCTTTTTCTCTCTTCTTTTCTCTCTCTACCTCTACCATCTGTCCAATTTCTAATTGAAATCTCTGTTGCATCCCTTATTTGCTTCCCATTGTCCACTTTTCCACCCAACCCTCAGTCTAATTCCAGAGGCAGCCAATCAAATTAGCTTCACTTCATGACCAGCTACCTTACTGGATCCCAACCATTTTTTCAGGTTACCTCCTAGGTTTGGGCTGTCTTAAGTCTTGAGGCACATTCCTTATCTGATCAAGGCCTTGCCTTCACAAAAAAAATAATCCAGGCTGCTCCTGTGAAACATGCGCTAATGATGAAGCAGTTGAAACTAGAAAGGGAAACTTGAAAGGAATGTCAACACAATCTTTTTTATCATTCCTTTTTCCATCATTGGAAATAGGTGTTGAAAACCTACAATGATTACAGGCTTCCAAAATCCCTCATCTAATCAAATGGCAAAAGTCCTCATCTTTGTTCATTTAAGCAGGTCTTCAGGACAAGTCAAACCAACTAATAACAATTAAGCGTCTATTTCTTTCTAGCACTTTTTTTGTATATTCTAACACATCCAGAAACATGGCAAAACTGCAGAAATGGGCAAAAGATTAAGAACTCTGTCATGGTACAGAGAAGAAAATGGAGGCCTGGAAAGTGTAGATTTAAATGGAATATCTGTGTCCTGCCTTGGAGAACTCTAAGATCCAGTTAATGATATTAAATATAGGGGGAAACTTGGCATGGCAGTCCATGCTTATAACCTCAGCAACTCAGGAAACTGAAGCAGGAAGATCACAAGTGCAGGTCAGCCTCAGAAACTTAGTGAGAGAAGTGGGGATATAACACTGTGGTAAAGCACCCGTGGATTCAATGCCCAATATCAAAACAAACAAATAAACATAGGGGAGGGAAACGAGCTTACTGTAATCAATTATTACATTGACTAACTCAGACTTCAAAATCATAGGAACTCAGGGAAGGGGAAAATTACTATATACTGACTCAGTTACACCTTATAAGAAGTAGAAAACAGAATGGTGAAGGCACAGCTTCCAGTATCAAGGGGAACCTGTGTGTGGGGACTGGTGAGCTATAAATGAGTGACCTCCTGAAAGGTGGGCCTAGTTAAGTGGAATCACTTGACAGACAGATTTCCAGGTCTGACCAATGAGTTTGCAATCATCCTAAAAGTTAATCCTAAAACAAATCTTGATAGGTTTTGAAGCAAGAAAGAAACATCATGAAAACAGCATTTCATAGGGTTAAGAGCAGGATCTTTGGAGCCCTGCAGATTGGCTTGGAATCCTGGCTCCGCCAAGTTCTCACTTTGTGACCTTGGGCAAGTTATTTAACATGAGTGTCCTCATATATAAAATGGGAATCATGATAATAGCAATAGTATCTACCTCACTGGGCTATTTGGAGGACTGAATGAATTAATATGTGCAGCACATACAGAGCGATATGTGTTCTCATTAACAGTGCTGTGAGCCCCGACAGCACTAGGAGTGAACTCCTGCTCAGAAAGAAATAAGCTTCATGGCTGCTGGAATGAAGAGAAGGCAGGCCATGGTGGCTGAATCTAGGACCACACAGTAAAGATCTCCAAGCGGTGTCCCCAAAAGAGGAAGAAACCTTAGTCATAGAGCAGGACTGGGATGGAAACAGAGTGAAGAATTAAAAAACAACAACAACAACGACAAAAAGCTGGGTTCACCAGAATTGGCAATTTTAGAGAGAAAAAAATGTTAGGCATGGAAAAATGTATGTTTTCACAATCTTGGAGTGAAATTATCTTTGGCCATCATTTATGCTAGGTACTGCCAGGCCCATAAAGATCCATAGATTCCCACACTTGTCATCCCTCCCACAGTCTCTGGCTCCCAGAGCAGAGCACTGCTCTGTCCTTTTCATTCCTCTCTTACTTCCAACCCCATCCTCATCAAAACTTCCCTGGATATGTTTTACTTCCTGACTCACCTTACTCATTTGGTTCCTTAAAGTTTTTGTTAGTTCCCATTACATCTCTACCACAAGTATCCGAATAGTCACATACAGCACCAGGACACCTGACAGGACCCAGAAGAGAACGTGAGGTCTCATCTCATGTCCCCCTTGAAACTGCATGTGTGGGACTGTGTATCCACACAAGCACGATGTGAGGGAGGACCTGTTACTCCAAACAGGAGCAGGAGCCCCTACCTCACTCCTCCTTTCTACTTATCTGATGTACCTCTTCTGAGGTTCTCTCTAAAAAACAAACAAAACACCACTGGGAGGTAGAGGCACAACCATGGTTCTAAAGAGATCAAAGGAGTGTACAAGGAGGAATTTGTCAGCAACCCTCTTCCTATTTAAAGGACTAGCATCCGTTTCCTTTCGGTTCGGCGGCAGCCTTCAGGTAAGCCAAGATGGGCGCGTACAAGTATATCCAGGAGCTATGTAGGAAGAAGCAGTCGGATGTGATGCGCTTTCTTTTGCGGGTCCGCTGCTGGCAGTACCGCCAGCTCTGGGCGCTCCACAGGGCTCCCCGCCCCACTCGGCCGGATAAAGCGCGCAGACTGGGATACAAGGCCAAGCAAGGTTATGTCATATACAGGATTCGTGTGCGCAGTGGTGGCCGCAAACGCCCAATTCCTAAGGGTGCCACCTATGGCAAGCCTGTCCATCATGGTGTTAACCAGCTAAAGTTTGCAGGAAGCCTTCAGTCTATTGCTGAGGAGCGAGTTGGACGCCACTGTGGGGCTCTGAGAGTCCTGAATTCTTATTGGGTTGGTGAAGATTCCACATACAAATTCTTTGAGGTTATCCTCATTGATCCATTCCATAAAGCTATCAGAAGAAATCCTGAAACCCAGTGGATCACTAAACCAGTCCACAAGCACAGGGAGATGCGCGACCTAACATCTGCAGGCCAGAAGAGTTGTGGCCTTGGAAAGGGCCACAAGTTCCACCACACTATTGGTGGTTCTCGCGGTGCAGCTTGGAGAAGGCGCAATAACCTCTAGCTCCACCGTTTTCGCTAATATAAGTATGATGTTTGTAAAGTTCATACCTAATAAACAATTTAGGACAGTCATGTCTGCTTAAAGGTGTTATTTGTCTGTTAAAACTAGTCTGCAGATTATTTCATGAATGCTTTGTCAAATTATGAAAGTTTTAAAGTGCAATAATGTTTGAAGACAATAAGTGATGGTGTATCTTGTTTCTAATAAGATAAACTTTCTGTCTTGCTTTATCTTATTAGGGAGTTATATGTCAGTGTTTAAAATATGCTACCTGGTATAATAGGTGCCAAATAAATTCTTTAAAAGAGGGGTGCTGGAACTAGCCCTGTAGATTTTTTTTTTGGTGCATGTGACAAAACCTACAACTTCATTGGGGTGATGTAATGCTCCACTAGTGGTTGGGCTTTTTGGAGTGTGGCAGTTCAAACTTTAAAGATTGGATTTTGATTAAGATGGGAGGAGGATATCCTAATCCTATAACATGGTCATGTGCATTCAAATTTAAAGCCCACATTTTAAAATTTAACTCAGTGTTTCATTTGTGTAATTGCTCCTTCTGAAAGGGGAAAAGCTCCCCAAATGCAGTCAAACTTTCAGAGGAATAAACCTGTTGTGAGAAAATTAAAAGAATCTTAGAAATTAAAAAAATCTAGGCTAAACAAAATTGCAAAAGTCTTCACCATGTCCTATAAGTTCACATAAAGAGTAAAAGCTGGTTTAATAATGTGGCTTGGTGGATACAGCGTTTTGAACTTGTTGCAACAGTTTTCTGTGACATTTACATCAGTATATTTTTGAAACAGGTTCGAGTATACATTGTTTAACTTAAGATTTGTAGGCTAGGGTGGGTAGCTGGTGAATCCATGGCTTTTGCTAAGTATTTGCAAGATTAGAAAGAAGTCCTGATCAAGATTTTTAAAGTACATAATGCCAGTTTGAAACCATATTGAATCCTCAAGCCACATGTGCAAATGTATGTCTGGCTATTTTAAAGTACTTATTTGCTCAGTTAAGTCACCGGCAACTCACACAAGGGTACTTAAAAAGTTGTTACCTGCGTAACTTTATGTTGTGTGGCTATTTTTCTCATTGCTGGTGAAGCAATCCCCCAAATCTTTCTTCGAGTTGGTCCATCAATTAAGTATATTACCACATTGTTTCATTTCTGTTAATCTTTTCCTGTAGATTAGGCTGCTCTTTCCTAGGGTGAAGTTGAATGTGGAGGAGGAATTGCCCCTTAGTCTTCAAATTCTGGGTTTGCCGACATTATAGTTGTTTCAATTTTAAAATCTAATTGATGCCCTTCTTGATCTGATTTTTCTCCAGCAATTTCAAGTCAATTGATTTCTAGGAAATAATCTAAAGCATGCTCATAAAGCCTTGAGAATTAAATTCCATTCTACCCAACAAAACAAAAAGCCCATACATTTTGATTGTGTGTAGAAGTTGTTCAACTAAAGGAATAAATGACTATTAAACAAAAAAAATAAATAAATAAATGACTAGCATCCATAGTTCCTTCAAATTTTTCTATGCTTTTTGCCTACTTACTGAATTTATTCCTATATCCTTAGAAATAAACATGTAAATCTAAAACAAAATGAAAAAAATTAGAAATATCTAAACCTAAATATCTAAACCTCTCCTATGAAATGCAGACCCAAAGATGTTCAAAAGTGACCTTTTTTTTTTGAGGCTTCAAGGACTTTCTATATTCATCACAAATTTGAAAACAGCTTGTTACCCACTTTCTATCATTTAGAATCTAGTGAATATTAGGCACCATAAATTTAGTATAGTCATGCATCACTTAACAACTCAGGTACATTCTGATAAATGTGTCATTAGGCAATTTCATCTTATGTGAACATTACAGAGGTTACTCACACAAACTAAGATGATATAAGCAATCACTCAGGGTGGCTATTGATGTAAATTGTAAATGCTCCTGTCCGCATAACATGGCATACTGTTTTACAGAAAACTTTTTTATTATAAGTAGAAGTATACTCTAAAATAATGGTAACAAGTATAATATAGTAAATAGTTAAACCAGTAACATAGATACCTATTATCATTATCAAATCTTCTGTACTGCACATGATTATATGTGCTACACTTTTACATGACTGGCAGCACAGTAGGTTTGTTACACCAACATCAACACAAACACTTAACTAATATGTTGTATTACAACATTCTAACAGCAACATTGTCATTGGGTGATAGGGATTTTTCCAGTCTATTGAGTCTTATTGGACCAATGTCATATACGTGGTCCATCACTAACCAAAACATTACTATGTGGTGCATAACTGTATATGCCACCTGAAATCTTTCAACAACCCCCTTGAAGATGTTATTATTGTTCACAAATCAAGAATCTGGATTTTGAAAAGCTATTGTATCTACCAAGAGTCACTCAACTGGTAGGTACTGGAGACAAGTTTAAACCTAGGTCTTCTAATTCTCTCTTGCTGTTATATTGAACTTGTACTAGTTCTACCACCTGGACCATATATTATTTTCTCATCTATTTAATATATTATTTTACTTTTATATTTTATTTTCATATATTATTATTCATATATTATTTTCTCTACCACCATATATTATTTTCTCTTCTATTTGCACATCATTCAGAACTCTTATTTGTGTAATGTTTCATTTCAATGTCATTATCGGCAAACACCATATGTAGACATTCGCCATTCCCTTCATTGACCCTTATCTCCTTTTTAATCCACACATATTGGAATTACTGTTGGTATGCATTAGGAATGCTTTTGGCTATAAGTAGTAAACAAGCTCTAGGAGGCATCAACAATGAGGCTATTTGAATTAACTAATTTCCCCAAAACTAATATGAGTTCAAAGATTGATAAGAACAATTCAGAATTAGCTAAAATTATTTCATTTTATCATTACCAAACTGACAAAAGAAAATATACCCTAACTCAGGAAGCAGATGAGTGTTTCTTTTATGTCTTCTCTTTTTTCCCAAAAATTTTCCATCAGAGTACGGTTCAATCTGAATCCACTAAGGAAAGCTCAGAACTTAATGCTCACTGCCTTTGATATTGCTTAGTTGGGAGGAAGGATAATGTTAGCATCAAACCGTCAGCCTTACTACCAAATAAGGAGATTCTTACTTCCCTGGTTAGTTTCTATGCTCTGCTCCTCATTCATCATCAAATTTACACCATTGTGTTCATGGTCTCCCCCCACCCCACCACACAGTGATTTAGTAACTGAACAATATTTTCAAAAAAAAATCCATGCTCAAAATTTGTTTTAAAAATCAGACATTTTCCATAATTACATTCCATCAACCTCCCTGTATAAGCTTTTTATCTTCCTATATGTCACTTCAAGTTTACAAATGGATCCATATAGAGCAGTTCAGCATGTCACCACACTAGCATCCCAAGCAGAGCAAAATGAATAAGGAGAAACAATTTTTTTCTCTTTACAGAGCTTTTCATTTTTATTAGAGAAGAAAATCTTTCGCAGATACTCCCTAGAAGACTTTCAATCGATAATTCTTTGGCCAGAACTGAGTCACGTGACTGCTCCTGGCTGCAAAGGTGGCTGGGAAAGTGAAAATCCCTCAAAAGAGAAGGGAAGCTCCATGACTGACTTATACCAAGGCTGATCCAGTCTCTGGTGCCTCTCCAACTAAAATATGGTTTGATTTGATTAAGAAGAAAGTAAAAAGAATAGAAGTTCAGTAGATTAGACAGAGATGAATGAAGGGAAGGGAGGAGAATGGGATAAGGAAAGACAGTGCAATGAATCAGACATAACTTTCCTATGTACATATATGAATATACCACAATGAGTCTCACCATCATGTACATCCACAAGAATGGGGCCTTAATCAGAATAAGAAATATGCCATGCTTGCATAATTACATCAAAATGGATTCTACTGTCATGTGTGACTACAAAGAACCAAACAAGGAAAAAAAAGGAAAGTAAAGAAGAAAGACTATTGGTTAGACACTAACAATGTCTGCTATGTAAACGTTCATACAGCATGTGCAACATTTTTGTGTGTGATTCATGACTTGGGAAGAAAACTTATGTGTTTATTATAATCTTAAATTCAGCAAAACACTCCATCCTGTCAGATGGTTTCTCTTGATCCAGTTTTATAAGGCAACCAGACTCGGTCCTTTTTGTGCGTTTTGTTATTTCTTTTCAAATCTCTAAGAGGTCTATGATTTTATTGCCCAATTTTGAACTTCATTGTGAATGATTCTGCTGGTTACCACGAAAAAAGTCTTCACTATCAAATTCCCAGCACACATACACAAAAAATTCAGAAAATCCTGTTCCAGATGTCACCTCTTACCCCTCATTTTTAAGCTAAATGATTGATAGCTCTTACACCAAGCCTGCAGGTGACAGGTCTTTCAGGCTTTTTTATCAGTGGGCAAATGCCTGATCCAAATCAGCATCAGTCTGACTGTGGCTGGAATTCCATTCTTTCCTTAAGGGCTTATGTTTTTATTTATTTATTTGTTTGTTTAATTATTTATTGATTTATTTTGGTGATACTGAAGATTGGAGCCAGAGTCTTGTGTGTGCTAGGCAAGTGCTCTACCACTGAACTACTAACCTTTTCCTTTGACAGATATTTTGACTGTTAGAACTTTATTTTTCCTGCTAATCAATATCACCCTTAAGTGAATTCCCAAATACTTCATTTTTCTTCTTTTTTTCTAGGTGAATCTAAAAAATAAATTGTTTCTATCACTTCTGATTTTTATCAAATCTTATTTTTCCTCAATTTTATTCTCTTCCAGCTGTCTCCTGTTTATTCCAATATTCAATGGTCTGTTCCTAATTGAGAAGCCCCCTTATTCATAATTCAATCATATATGTTTTATAAATCATAAATGCAAAGTGTATGTCCATCTATTGTAATCAACTTTTTTTTTATTTTTTATTTTTTTAATTTTTTATTGTTGGTTGTTCAAAACATTACAAATTTCTTGACATATCATATTCCACACTTTGTGTAATCAACTTTTTATAGCAAATATTATACATATAAAGTTCCATTACTTTTTTGGTC